CCTGGTCAGGGTCGTAGTCTCTGCTGATTGGTTTGCACCAGGGTGGGGGGTGGCTGATCAGGGCATCTGGTCCTCATGGCATCACTTCATCTGGTTTCACAGCTGTTCTGGGGCTGGCGCTGAAACACAGCTGAGGCCTCGATGTCATCTCTAGTTTGACCAAAACTCTGTCTCTGTGGGCAAAAGGCCCAAGGCTTTATTCCTAAGATTACTTAATGCTGATCAGAACCTCAGTGTCCTGGGGCTTAATGATTAAGGGAGTGAGTGTGCAAGAAGAAGGAGGCAGGTGGGTCAGGTGCTGGACGAGGCCAGTTTGAATCAAAAGGAAAGGAATGAGAAACGGTCGTGTTAAAGAAATGAGGTTTCTTTGTGGTTACACCCTCGTGGTTCTTTTGGCTGGTCTAATAATCAAAATAGATGTGAACCCTGGATACACAAGAGAGGCAGAGACCTCACATGAACAAGAGGTTCGGGGATAGAAAGGAACACGGGTGTGAGACACCCTGGGCTAGGGGTGAGCTAGTGCCCCTTGGGGGCTTCATTGCAGGATGGTAAGAAGAGCAGATGTTAAGTAAATAGAAGTTTGTGCTTCCAGGTAGGTGGGACAGAAAGAGAGAGATTATCCCCAATAATCTCTAATTATGGGCAATGCCCCTATTTCAAGTTCTTCTAGGTAGTCAAGGGTGGAGGGCAGACGTTTCTCTTGAATGGCCTTTGGCTCAAAGTAATCTGCACACCACAGAGGCATATCTTGGGATGGGCCGTTCTGAACCCCCACATATCTAAGGGAATGTTCTCAGGTCCCAGGGATTAGGATTTGTCAGCCTGCTAGCGGGGGAGAGGGTAGGTGGTGGGGTAGTGTCTAAGTGTTACCAGAAAGGGACCTGGCCGGAACGGTCTGCCTCAGGCTGGCCTGATTTCTTGCAGGAAAGATTTCACGTTTATTAAAGCCAGTGACAGTGAGACAAGGAAGGGCCTAGGATAGAAGAAGAGGCAGGAGAGAGTCTGGGCGGGGCTGCTTTAGCTCATTGGAGAGTTAGAGAAAAGTGGGCCTTGGAGACAGGTTCAAGGGCTTGCTGGGGACGAGCTGCTGCCACCCATTGCTCCCCTGGTTGCAAGTCTCATGGGGTTTCGTAGAGTTTAGGAGATGCAAGCCTGTGGGGGAAGGGGAGGGGGAAGGGAAAGGCATGGGTGTGCTCCACTGGGTCCTTGTCTTGAGGGCTTTAAAGGCTGGGAGTTTAGGTGAGATCTTAGGGAAGGATCTCAATAGAATATTCATCAGCTTTTCCATGTGTGTCCTTTCAGGGTCTTGGTCTCCCCTGATTGGTCGGCACCAGGGCAGGGGGTCATTAGTCATCACAGCTGGTCCTGTCATCGCCTGCCTGGTTTTGCTGCTTTTCTGGGCCTGGAACAGAAATATAACTGAGGCCTAGATGTTATCTCTGGGGAGGAAAGGTCAGGGGGTCCAAACCCATGAGCAGCAATATGCTAGGAGAGGAAAGGCCACCCTGGGGGTGAGGTCTGATGCCAGTTTGTCCTGCTAGGCACCTGGATCTTTCCACCCTGGTGACCTTCTGCATCTGCTATAAGTTGCTGGGCCAGTTTGTTCAGCTACCTGACTCAGTTTCCCAGTTCCACTTGCCAAAGAACTTTCCTAGCTTCTTACTGTCCTGCCTCATTAAGACTGAGAGAGTCTTAAGTAGCTGGTTCTGCTGTGGCCAGTGGCCAATGCTGACCTTCTCCTGTGGCAGTTTTTGCAGGATCTTCCATGGGGATCCCACCGGTAGCTCCTGTGGTGAGGCTTGAGGCTCTCCCAGGTGCCGGCCCTGATGCCCCCCATTCCAGGCCCCAGCATCCACCCTTGGTTTGGGTGCCAGAACCCCTCAAGGGTGCTCTCAATCAAGTCCTATTTGTAGGGTCCTTTTTGGTCCTGGAATTGGGCTGATTGCTCTCCAACAAAGATTTGCTGCTCACCCCCTACACTACCCCCTTTTTTTGTTAATCTTCACCGGAGGATATTTTTTCCATTGATTTTTAGAGAGAGTGGAAGGGAGGGAGGGAATGGGAGAGAGAGAGAGAAAAAGAAAGAGAGATAGAGATGGCTGTGAGAGAGACACATTGATCAGTGGCCTTCCGCATGCACCCCAACCAGGGCCGGGGATCAAGTCTGCAATCGGGTCTGTGCCCTTGATCAGGAATCAAACCCAATACCCTTTGGTGCGCGGGCCAATTCTCTATGCTCTATCCCCTGAACTTCACTGGCCGGCTCTCTTGCCTCACTTGGCAACAGGCCACCCAGGCTGAGGCCATGTGGCTCAGGGGCTATGGCTGAGGCAGGACTCAGATCTGCCTGGATTTGAACTCCAGTCCTGCACTTACTAGTCATATACCCTTGAGAGAGCTACTCACCCTTTCGTGCATGACTTGGCACAGAATAAGTACTTTGAAAAACATAGGAGAAACTGGCCACTTGGTCCACAAACCCCAGAGGACATGTGCTCAGCTATATAAGGGAGCCCTCCACACTTTTGCCTCCAGGCACCTCAGATTTGGGGTGGAGTGTATTCCAACCCCCCAGCTGTACCATTCTGAGGCTTTGAAACCTTAGCTGAAACTGAGCCGGAAAGAGCCCCGTTATCACATCCTGTCACCCTGGGGTCTGGGGCCTGCGGAAGACAGGGAGGGGTGGGAGGAGAGACCATGTAGGAGCTCCAGGATGGGTCGCCAAGGCCAGGGCAACTCCATCTGTCTGGACATCTTGGGGCTGGAGCTGGTGACAAGCTTCTGCCATCTTCCTCTTCAACTTGTTTTTTAACTAAACCTTTTATTTTGAGATAACTGCAGATTCACATGTCTTCTCAACTTTTTATATAGAAAAATTTCAGACCTTCAGAAAGTCTGTAGGAATGATACAGTGACACCCACACACCCCTCACCTGCACTACTCATTCATACCTGACTGAGTTCATGGTCTTTATTATTCATAACTATAGAGACACACACAGAAAGAAGTATGGAAGTATGAACATACTCTAGCCCCTAGGAAACATATTTCTAAAAACTCTTTATATATATAGGGTGTCCAAAAAAATGTATACACACAATTTGAATAATTATAAAGGCAGTGTTTATTAAAATAAACACTGTTTTTCAAAATTGAGCTGTCAGCTGTTAAAGTATTTATACATTTTTTTGGAGACACCCTGTACAATATATACAATGAGTTTATATTTACATAAATGAGTATATTTACATAAATTGAGTGTACACATGTATATGTGTGTGTATGTGTGTATTCTCCCCTCCCCCCACCTTTGTCTGCAGAGGGTCTAGAAGCAATAGCAGCCCAGCCGGTGTGGCTCAGTGGTTGAGTGTCGACCCATGAACCAGGAGGTCACGGTTCGATTCCCGGTCAGGGCACAGGCCCTGGTTGCAGGCTCGATCCTCAGCAGGGGGCATGCGGGAGACAGCTGATCAATGACTCTCTCATCACTGATGTTTCTATCTCTCTCTCCCTCTCCCTTGAAATCAATAAACACATATTTTAAAAAATTTTAGAAACAATGGCACCTCCACAGTAATCAGCATACCTGACACCGGCTCCATCCTGGTTTCTAAGCACCATCCTCCCTCCGCCTAAAAGACCATTCTCCGTCTCTTTGGAAAGATGACTGATTCCAGGCCGGGGGCAGGAAAAGTCCTGCATGAGCCTGGAACATACCGTCAGGATATTAGGAAGAGCTCGGGGGACAATGTGGACTTGTCAAAATGACAAGGAGGCAGCTTGGAGGGAGTCCTGCTGCCAAAACTGGGACAATTTAGGCATCAAACACACACACACATGCACGCACACACACACACACACACGCACGCAGACATACACACACGCACACACACACATGCACACATACACACGCACACATGCACACACACACACGCACACGCACAACAACAGTAATGGATTACTATCCATGGACTTAAATATGAAAGCATGGTATAACCACATTGACATAAATGAAGGAGGAAAAACTCTTTTTTACAGAAAAAAACCAGTCTTCTCACCAATCCACCTAATTCCCACCCACCACCCCGGGTCCCCCCGCAGGCCGGTGTCTCCTGCCCCTCCCGGAGACAGCAGCGCTGCGCTCTCCCACGGCCCCCACCCAAGCGTGTCAGAATCGCTACACCCACACCACTGTTAGAACAGACCTCGGAGCAAGGGTCAAGGTTTACTTGCAGTTCTTGTCTTTTTGTTGTTGTTTTTAATAACTATGTCTATTTTTCCCCCCGGTTCTTTTTCACCATAGGCTCTCTGTGCCACTGAAGGTGCCCCGTGTTCCTGAGTGGGGCTTGGGTAGATGAATGGAGCCTCCTGGGAGGAGAAGGAGGAGAGAGCACCAGGAGAGGGACATGCATGCGCAGACGCCTGGGCAATGCGATGGAGTGTGCCGGTGTGTCCCCCAGTGGGGCTGAGCCCGGTGTCTGTTTAAAGGGAGAGTGAATAGCAAAGTACAAGTCTGGAGAGGTGTGTGGTGGTGCACCGGAGCAGGGCTTGGAAGGGCCTTGAATGCCAGGAAAAGAGCTTGGGGTTGATGTAATGGGCATTGGGGAATCATGGGAGCATTGGAGTTTAGAAAATGTGGCAGACAGATTGGCAAAGTAGAGGGAGTGGTTGGAACCACAAGATGCAGGCCTGAGCTGGCAGGATGGCCACTGGAGACCTCAGTTTTATCATCTGTAACATGGGTACAAGGAGAGAGACCCACCCCCAGGGCTGCCTGGAGACTCCCCAAGGGCTGTGCCTGGCCTCTGGGGTGGAAGGTGGGCTGGGCCTGCCCCTCCCCGTAACCCCCCCACTCCCTGACATGTCTCTGCTTCCTGTTTCTCCCTGTCAGGGGCAGTTTCAGTCTCGGCTTCAAAAGAAAACCCGCTCTCAAAACAAAGGAAGACAGTCCTCGACTGCAGAGGAAGCAGGAAGCTGCCAGCCCCACTCGGAGCCCAGCTGCGGGGCTCAGGGACAGCAGGATGGAGTCCGTGGCCCTGTACAGTTTCCAGGCCACAGAGAGTGACGAACTGGCCTTCAACAAGGGGGACACACTCAAGGTAGGATGGCCAGAGTGGGCTGAGTGGGCCTCCCGTGGGATGGGGAGGTTAAGAACCAGGCGCCGAGGACAGCCCCCCCAAAAGAGGTCAATTTTGGGAGGAGGACAGGCCCAGCTTCTCCAGTTATCAGCTCGGTGGGTCAGGACAAGCCATCCCTTCCCTCTGAGCCTCAGTCTCCCCATCTAAGAGATGGGGAGGTCATTAATGATCCTTCCTTTGGGGGCCATTGTGAGGATTCAAGGAGTCATTAGCACAGTGCCTGGCAGAAGTTGGTTCAACACCCAATTTCCCAGGGATGAATTTGCGCAAACAAGTTGCTGAAACAAGAGGGG